GCGAGAGAGACAGAGAGTGAAAGAGAGAGAGAGAGCCTGTGTGTTGAGATGTTATCTGTAGCACATCTGTGTTCTAAGTGTGCTCCTGCAGAACGTTACTGACACTGAACCACAAGCGCCATGTGACACACACACACACACACACACACACACACACACACACACACACACACACACACACACTCTCTCTCTCTCTCTCTCTCTCTCTCTCTCTCTCTCTCTAGGTCAGGGGTGTCCACTCTTATCCACAGAGGCCGATGTGGCTGCAGGTTTTCACTCCAAACGATCTGAAGTTCACAAGATTCTACTAGTTTAATCAGCTGGTCTTCACACTGCTGATCAGGTGATCTGCTGCTCTGTTGGGGTGCAGCCCCCCCCGGCCTCTGTGGACAAGAGTGGACACCCCTGATCTGCACACATGAGGGGAATGATTGATTATCAGACGCACTGTGATCGCTTCATAATCAGGCTTTTACAGGATCATTAATAAACATTAGACTTTTACTGAATCAGGAGCAGCTCTGATCAATACTTACTCAATATTCAATTACTCAATAATTAATACTGAATTACTGCAATAACACTCAGCGACAGACCCCTGACATATCAGCCAATCAGAGCCCTGATACACAACACCAGCCTGACACGACCGAGAGACAGACAGACAGAGAGAGAGCAAACTTTGCTCTCTCTTTCTCTCTGTCTCACTCTCCCCGTCTCACTCTCCCCGTCTCACTCTCCATCTAAGTGTATTTGTCTGAGACTCTCACTGTTCACCATGTAGGACACTGAACTCCTGCTGAAGGTCACTGAGTTGAGGAGCTGCAGTGCCGAATCGACTAAAGGACGTCAGCGTCTTCATCCAGACCAGAAGATGGACGCTGGAGCATCTGTGACCAACACCTCTTCCTGCACAGTTCTCACACAGGACATTCCAGGATATTCCAGGATATTCCAGAGGACGGGACTCTACTTGTCCCAGCAGGAAATATTTTCAGGAGAGACTCTTCAGAGACATCATTCTGCTTCCTGAAACTCCGTCATCCTCTATGAGACAGGACCTTCACCCAACACACAGCCTGCACCAGAACCAAGGCTCTACACCACTGAACCCAGACACCTGCACCAGAACCAAGGCTCTACACCACTGAACCCAGACACCTGCACCAGAACCAAGGCTCTACACCACTGAACCCAGACACCTGCACCAGAACCAATGCTCTACACCACTGAACCCAGACACCTGCACCAGAACCAAGGCTCTACACCACTGAACCCAGACACCTGTACCAGAACCAAGGCTCTACACCACTGAACCCAGACACCTGCATCAGAACCAAGGCTCTACACCACTGAACCCAGACACCTGCACCAGAACCAAGGCTCTACACCACTGAACCCAGACACCTGCACCAGAACCAAGGCTCTACACCACTGAACCCAGACACCTGCACCAGAACCAAGGCTCTACACCACTGAACCCAGACATCTGTACCAGAACCAAGGCTCTACACCACTGAACCCAGACACCTGCACCAGAACCAAGGCCCTACACCACTGAACCCAGACATCTGTACCAGAACCAAGGCCCTACACCACTGAACCCAGACACCTGCACCAGAACCAGTTCTGAGACACTGTTCATGATGACTCTTTCCTCTCCAGCTCGTCACTCCTACAAATTCTCCAGCAGCATCTCTTACAGCAGCTTATAACGCTGTTCACTGATCAATCAGGTTGGACACAAAACTCAATAACGCGGTTTATCAGTGGAAAAAAACTTAATGAGTGAATAAACTACAGCGTTTAATTTATTCTGCCTAAAGGGAAAAAAAAGCAGTTGCAAAAACAATGAATTTAAAACAGGCTGTTTGTAGCTTCGTCTCCATGTACGGTCCGAGCGTCCTGGGTGTGAACGGCACAAAACAAAACAAAAGTGTTTACATCACCAAACTCTTTAAAAAGTGAAGATGAGTCAGTTTTCCAGGATTTGGGCTCTTTGAGTTAAAGCGTTATTGGTGTATAATCTGTGCTGATCTTCTCCTTTAAGACACTCTGAGCTCAGCACAAACCGCACGATGGGCCGAGAGCAGCTGGCATGTTGTGACCCATCTTCATCAGCAGGTTCTCGTCATTACTCCCTCCCTCTCTCCCTCTCTCTCCCTCTCTCTCTCAGACACACCCTGCCTCTGTGCAATGCTCTATTTCACTGTTGCTCAACTGCTCGTTCCTCAGAAAAACTCCACCTCACACTCCACAGGTGGGAGAGGAGCTGTTTGGATATGATCGCACAAAAGCACCTGTTTACTGACCTGCAGCACAACATCGTACTGAACTACACAAACACAGAGGGGTCACTGAGGGGGATTACGATTATGATTATGGTAACTGTGGTGATAGGAACCAGACGTCCACCTCTAAAAGCTCCCTCAGAAAGGTTACTACATGAAATGGTGATGAATTCACTGCCTGATGACTGAGACTGTTTTATCACAGTTCATTAAAGACAATGAACATAACTTTCTTTGTAAACTGTTATATTTATATATATACGAGAGAGAGAGAGACTCTTCGCCACGGTCGGCTGTATCATCGTAGGAAGGGTCTGTATCAGGACCTGCAGACACTCCAACCTGGCCGTTTCTGAATGCGAGTAAATCCTGGAATGTTTGTAAACAAACGTTTGAAAATAAACATTTGCGCGAGTGCACAGCACGCAGGGCTGTATCTGCACACTCCGTTCCGTTGAGGCGGATGGGCACATGAGTCACCACGTAACCACGCGGCTCTGGATTAGCGCGGCGCCGAAACAGCCTACTCAGCACATGCGGCTTTGGCTGCAGCACGTGTGCCAGCGGCGCCAACAAAGCCTCACGCAGCTCACAGGTGCAGCCGGCCAACGGCAGCCCGAGGCCACTCGCGCGGCTCATCCACGGCTCCGCCCGCGGCCTGCTGACAATGGAGGTGTTTTTCCATGAGCCGCGGCCGCGATCTCTCTCCTGAAAACACATTCTTCACTCCGCAGAGGCTCCAGCACTGACTGACTGACTGAACTGCTGTGGGAGAAAGTAGCTCATTTTAAAGGAAGAAGAACTTACTCTTCTCCTGCTTTCACACTTTTACATCTGCTTATACAGTTTGTGCCTTTTTATTCCCCAAAAACAGACGTAATTCATCTCTCTTCAGAAAACACACTTAAATATGACTTTAGCACAATTTCTGTTCATTTGCTCAATTTAACATTAAAAAATTAAAGCATGTACCATAAGCATACATTTTAGACAGGTCACATCTTATTTTTTCCCCTAACGTGTTAACTTCACTAAATAAAGAGTAACTGTGCATTAAATGTGCAGACATGTGTCTCTGCAGAGGACGTGTTCAGACTAACCACTCGGATCAGCTCTGTTTACATCTCAACCACTTAATTAAGCAGTAATTAAAACACTGGTGGAATTTCCCTCCCAACAAAACGCATCAACACTTAGATCACAGCAGAACCAGCAGGTCACACAAGCGTTCTGAGCACTTCACCCTAAAGTCAGCCCGTAAACGGACACGTGGAGCCTCAGATGACTAATTAAGCCGGTCGGCACGGTGACATTCCGGAGACTCTCCGCTGACCTGCCCTCGTGGCTGAGATGGAGCGGAAGAGGAAGCAGTTACAAAAATACAATTATGTAAATGTCCGTCTGTAGAATGAAGGAGTCTGAAGTATGTAAATTTCTTAACGCTTGGTTGGGCTTGCCCTTTATCCCAGCGCCAGGGTGACGCTGTCTGAAGGGGCCCTTCAAGTTCAGCAGTTAAAACGGGATCTTACATCACGGCAGATTCCGCATCACGCAGTGCGTATCGGCCACAGCAGGAGGAGCGAGTGGAGCCGTAACTGGGTCAGAACCCCGTTACATCCGTTTAACAGACCGACCCGATCCAGCACCTCCCCTCAGTGAGGGAGCGCAGAACACAGCACTGAGATCAGAACATTCCCAAAGGTCAGGACCCTCGATCTGATGGTACAAACTGATTCTCACACTGCTGGGTGATAACCAGTGTCAGTCTGCACAGAGACACTAATCACAGCTCTAAAGTAACAGCACAGTGACAACTGACCGCTTCTGAGAGATTAACTCACTATGAAGACAATAATAATAATAATAATAATCATAATAATATCTTTATTTATAGAGCCTTTCAGACTGACAGCAGCTCAGAGTGCAGAGTGCAGAGACGGATCCGATTAAAGAGATTTTACTGAGTTAAAGAGCTGCGTTTTCAGATGTTTATTAAAAGTGAGTTCTGAGCTCGACTGTCTAATAAAAGCTGAACTGAGCTCCACAGTTTAGAAGCAGAATAACTGAAAGAGTCTCTCCACGTTTTCTGTTTTACTGAAGACGTTTGCAGGAGGACGGTTTCCTAACGTACAAAGAGAAACGTAAAGGCCCTAAAACTGAACCATGTGGGACTCCATAACCAATATTAACATTTTTGATGAATAATTTCTCAGTGAAATCAAGAACCGTCTGTTAATCTGAGATCACGTACCATAAACAGGAGTCAGACCATCAGGAAAAACGGAAGCCGTGATGTTCGACCCGGTAACGCTTACATGATACTTTGATCATAGCTTCTGTTCTGATAATATCTTGGTAATTCTGCAGATGGCAATCATTTGTCTAAATTTACTTTATCGTCCAAGCGTAGTAAAAGACATAATGAGTAAATGGAAAAACAACACTGTAACATACAATGACATAAAATATAATACAATATATTGTTGGTGAATACTGTGTTCAGCATGTCTTCACAACAAACCAGTGTCAGTCTGCATTGAGTTTACATCGTTAATCAAATCTTTAACCACACAACAGCAACAACTGACAACAATTATGCTTATTCAAAATATGCCTGTGTGTAATTAATTAGTTGATGTATAAGTGCAATATTTTCTACTGTATTTCAAAACTATAGATTAGGATGATTGTACAATGGTTAAATAAAAAAACGAATTCATACGGAGAATAAAAAAACCAAAAGAATAATAATTAACATAATGCTGGCAATTATTCAAATTACTGCAGTTTTCAATAATATGATATTTTAAAAAATTTTCCTGCTTTTTTCTTTGCAAATAATGATTTACAAAAAAATTCAGATTTTCAGACTATTCTCTTGTGTATTTTAAATATTTATTATTATTTAATTTTATTTTTATATGTTCCAAAATGCTCCAAAAAATCTGAGAAAAATGTAAATATACTGACTTCAGGCTTCAGGTATCTGTCTAACGGAGTGATCGGTCACTAACGATCACAGCGACACTCACCTCCCCTGACTGTGGCGGCATCTTCAGCGGAGGAAGGCTCGGCTTGCTGCCGTTCTTCAGGTCAGGTAAGCTCTCGTAAGACTGTCCGTGGAAGTCCTCGGGCGACGGTTTCAGGTCCGGAGACTCGCTGGTCACCTGGTCTGGGCCGTCCATGGGTCTGACCAACGCCATGGGCTTCCTGGAGTTGGCCAGGTTGGGCTTGGAGGAAAGCGGAAGCGGGAAGTTTTGGGAAGTCAATGGCGGAACATCTCCGGTCAGCTGGTGAACCTCTTTCTGGGCCTCAGGGTGATGCGGCGGCTCCATCCTGCCAGAGGAAGTGTCGTGTTTGGGAGAAAGGGAGCGGTGGTTCTCGTTGTCCGTGTCCTGTTCCGAGTCGCTGGACTCGCTGGAATGTAAAGGGGACAGGGGCTCGGCAGGCGGGGAAAGGTCCGGAAGAACCGGCGGTAAGGTGGCGTAGTCTCTCATATCCGGCCAAGCGTCCGTTTTCCTCTGGTGGGCTTCCAGAGGAGCCTCTTTGCCGTGACCGTCCGGAACTGGGTACTTCTTGGAGGGCTGTGCCGAGCCGTGCCCGGGAAGGCCCGACTGGGCGGTACCGTAACTGGAGGAGTTCTGGAATGAGGGGTCGGTTTTGTCCTTGTGCGCGGGGTGCCCTGAACGTCCGTGCGATGATGCAGACGGGCGGTCCTTGGTCACCCCATCGTACTGGCTATACTGAGAGTTGTTCCCATCCTCGTAATTTCCCAGCATCCTCTGGACAATTCTGGACAATTCGTCTCCTTTGTTTGTCTAGAAATAAAGAAAAGCTGTTTCAGTTGGAGGGAACAATAAAAATTCATAAACACAGACATTAGTGAGAACTACATTTCTGCAACAATACAACACATCGTACTGCATCAAACTGGATCACAGCTGTCGTGACCAGCAGCCTTACGGCCGGAGCGGCACATCCACAAAGCATCAGTGTGGCTGCAGGTTTTCATTCCACACAAGCCGGGGGTTCCTGATTTCTAATCAATGGGTCGTCAAACTAACTGGACATTTGAGCTCCTGCTTTGCTGGAACGAAAACCTGCAGCCACACTGTTCCTCTGTGGAGCTACAGCACCAGACTGAGACCCCCGAGCGCAACGTTTCACATGTTATACAGTTAAAAATATGAAAATATGAAAATATTAAGATCTTAACATGAAGCGCATCTTAGCCACTCCTTATTTTCCTGTTTTGGAAAATGTATTAAAAAGAAGCAGAGAGGCCCTATCTTCAGAGGATCGCGAGTTTGATCCTTGGTGATGCTACAGCCGTCCGTAGCCTGGAGTCCGAGAGAGCACAATTGGCCTCGCTCTCACTGGGTGGGTGGGATGGCTGCCCTTCTCCCCCCATCACTCAGCGCGATGCTAGTCAGCGCAGGCATCTGTTAGCTGACGTAGCAGATCTGGCGGTTGGCGCTTTCCTCCGAGCGCGTTCGGCTGTCCAGTGACGTTGCGTGAGCGGCAGTTCGAAAAGAAGCGGTGGTGCTTCAGAGGTCTCGGAGGAAGCCTGTGTTAGCCTTCGCCCTCCTAGCGTTGATAGCATCGTGTGATTGGGGGAGTCCTAACTAGCGGGTGGAATTGGAGACGACTAAATTGGGGAGAAAATCGGGAAAAAAAGAAAAAAAAAGAAAAAAAAAGAAGCAAAAAATCAACTGACTGACTCGTGACTTCAACTCACCCTTGATCGACTCACCACTCCGACTCGGCCTTAACCAACCAGCAAATTAAAGATCACAATCCTTTAAAACTTACTAAACCTTCAGACTGATTAGCTATCAAACTGACACTTTTCCTGCTGTTTGTAAATCAGCGTTAAACAGAGTCTTTAATATGATCCCGTCTGACTGCCCGGAGCCGCCGTCCGCAGCTGCGTCCTGTCTTTAAGAGGCTGCTGGTAGAAACACAGTTTACCAACAAAGGCTGTGAAACGGTTCCCCTTTCAGCAGAGATTAATCTGAGAACCTCAGACTCCCTAACAACCAGCTTAACTGCTGAACTGATGAAGCTCACTAATACTTAGATACTAATAACTCTATATTCATTTACAAATGAATCTATATGAATATTAATCTGTTAGCTAGCTACAGGGCTTAAAGCATGGAAAATTCCTGGGTCTGAAATGCGTTTGGGGGCTAAGAGAAGGTACGGAGGGAAACGGGGGGTTCACGAAATTAAGAAATTAATGAATTAAATATGAACGTTTATTATCAGAAGTGAAACAGATAAACAATAACAATAAGTATGATAAGTTCTGCAAAACAAATAATGCATCGTAATTGTAAGTCCAAGCACAACTTTCAAAGCCATACAGAGTATCCAACACGCCTCCATACTCGTCCTCCCTCGCTCGCTCCTCTGGCCTCTAAACAGCGTGTGCGGTGAACTGTTGCCAAATGAGTCCAAAAGATTGTGATTATAATATGAAAACAAAGCAAACAGCCTGTTAATTGCAGAGATTTGCAGTCACCCACAGTACTGAGCCACAGTGTAAACAAAGGTTCTATTACTAAAGTGGGTTTAACTTTATACAGAAAATAAGGTTCCTTACGACCGTATACATACATACAGCCCATATCCACAGACATAAAACTACAGCAATCAGCCTCGAGAGGCAGCGTGTTACTGTGATCTTATCACGGGGAAAGGGAACCGGAGTAGAGCAACGTTCTGTCTTTCACTCCACAAAGTGATTCAGTGTTTATGACCAGCGACTAATCTGACCTTTACGGCTGCTCCAGCGAAGAGACGCTCAGCCGGAGACGTTCAGCACCCGGGTTTCCGTTTTATCACCTAACATCACAGCTGACAGCATCCTACAGAGAGGCTCGCATCACCGAGCGCCACCGCCAGGTCTCAGCAGGCGTTCTACACCGTCTCCAAACTGCGCCTGTCGCAGTGGAGCAGAGCAGCAGAGCTGCATGTCTGTTAGAGACGGCGGTGAGATCCCGCGGGGCGATGATGTCACAGCTGGTGCAGAAACATGGAACGTCTTTAATGAAGAGGGTCACTCAGTAACTGTGACCCTGACGGCTCATTCAACTGGACACTCACTGTGAAAAGCTCAGTGTTTTAACAGGACACAGCTGACTTGGGGGGCGGGGGAAGTCAGGGGGACGGCGGTCCTGGAGTGGTCTGAGGACAACAGAATGCTAACGACTCTAATGGGCAGCTTTCTCTGACAGCATGCGGGACTGGACGCATAACGACCTCACCTCTCCACTCCGTCCTCCTCAGATCCTTTACACTGTGTCTCACTTTCAGTATGATTCAGAATATAAACACTATCCACACAGAACTCAGCCAGAATCTGCACAGAAAGACAGGCAGGCAGACAGACAGACAGGCAGGCAGACAGACAGGCAGACAGGCAGGCAGACAGACAGGCAGGCAGGCAGACAGGCAGGCAGACAGACCTTTATTGATCCCAATGGGAACTTGCTGACAAATCCGTGGAGCGGACAGAACAAGTTCCTCCTCCGTCTCCCTGTTCTAAAAATCTATTTAATATCTAGTCCTCGTTTAGAGGATTAGAACAGATACCTGATCTTACCCAAAAGGCTGAGAAGTGAAATAATATCGCTGCGAGTGAGAACATCTTAAATCTAGTCCAAACATACCGAATGTGTCTATCATTACCAGATAAATTAACTAACTTCTTATTTAACCTTCCAGATTTTTATTCACTCATGTTTAGTCTTGTTTTGTTCTACTGAGCTCAAATAAACAAACAAACAAACAAACAAACAAACAAACAAACATTACTCCCTGCCTCCCAAACCTATTTTTATGGATTTCACTCGCGAGCGAAGGAGGTAAAAACCGAAGAAGCTGCTTTGAGCTATCGCCACGAGAGGGCGCACTTCCGAGTTTTTCGACAGGATTGCGGGAGGGAGCAAATATACTTTAGCAGCGTCTGAGACGTGGAGTTACACGTTCTCTGTCTGAGTGGAGCGATCGGCGACCTGCTCTCCTGCGACCGAGTGTGAGTGACGAGATCAGTGGCGTAACTGTACTGTCCTACAGTGAACTCAACTCATTGGACAGTGGGAGAAAGTTAGCTTCCCAGGCTTTTAGCAGCTGGCTAACTTGAAGCAGCGCTCTGCCACTCATACAGTGAATTGATCAAACAAGACACAGAAGCGCTGGTTTCAGTTTAGACGTAGCTAAAGGAGGCTCTGTCTGTGTGGTGAGAGATTCACACTGCAGTTAATGCTTTTACACAGCGAGCGTCAGATATACCGCAGTTCACCCCTCAAACACTACGACAGAACAGAGAACCCAGACTCTGCTAGCTGGAGTCTGAACACCGTGATCCGCTCTGATACGGATGTGGTCGGAGTGACGGCAGTGAGGCGGTGTGATCCATCACTGACGGACCGAACCAGCCAGCGTTCGCTGTTCGTACTAAACTGACGATGTTGGGAAACTGAACAGTTCAGCTCTCGTCACCACACAGATTAAATAATCTGTTTTCTTTCTTAGATTATGACTATTACAAAAACTGCGGCTGTGCTTTTCCAGCTGACCAAAAACTCTCCCACTGTCCCATGACAGATCTGTGAAATGGTCCAGTGTTTGGTGAGTGATTGTCCTGTTCTGACCATAAAGTATGGTTTAAAACAGCAACTGACCACCCAGGAGCAAAACTCAGCCTTCAAACTTGAAAGAAATAATATGTTGACATTTATCGCGACGTATCGATATCGACTAATGTGAATTTTTTATCATGATTTTTTCATTATCATAATTTATGACAAAGTATCATCACCGGCCCTCTAAGGTCCACTGCACACCGGACATGCCATGTTGTTTTGAACAGCATCCAAAAAGTCAGTGAGAAAGTTGTTCAGAAAATCCGAGTCCGACGTCCGTGTTGAAAGCACGTCCGCGGCTTCATCCGCGGTAAAATCCGAATCTCCAGATGAGCTGCCCTCCGGACGGGGCTTCACGATCCACACCTGGTCCCAGAAGTTCAGCAGCCCCAATTCAGAAGATCAGGCAGGTGTTCAGGTTTGAAAGAGTTAACAAACACGACTTATTTTTAATCTGCTGAAACGTTGTGAATGACGTGAAACACGCAGCTATCGACAGACGACTGGCTGCTCCTTTCATTTTACCCGATTAATCGACTGATCAAAGCCACAATAAATCAATTCGTTTATTATGGAAAGCATCGTTACTTGCAGCCCCAAATGTGACAGGCTAACTCTTCAAACACAAACTCCTTCTCCCTCCCTCTGTCCCTCCCTACCTGCCTCCCTCTCTCTCTCTCTCTCTGAAGAGCCTAATTAACTGCAGTAGTCAGATAACGAGCCGCAGGAGCTGATGGATGTCTGAGGCGAGTGTGTGTGAGAGGACATGCAGCTTTTAGGCAAGACGCCCTCACCGTCCCTCCCTCCCTACCTTTCTCTCTCTCCCTTCCTACCTTTCTCTCTCTCTCCCTGCGGATCCTGCAGTCATTCACTCCTCCATCTCTCCTCTGAGAGCTCTGTGGCTCCGAGGGGCCTCATTAAAGCACTCAGTCTCTCACAGACGCGCACTGATGTGTGTGTCTCTCTCTCTCTCTCTGTGTGTGTGTGTGTGTGTCTCTCTCTCTCTCTCTCTCTCTGTGTGTGTGTGTGTGTGTCTCTCTCTCTCTGTGTGTGTGTGTGTGTGTGTGTGTGTGTGGGTGTGTGTCTCTCTCTCTCTCTGTGTGTGTGTGTGTGTGTGTGTGTGTGGGTGTGTGTCTCTCTCTCTCTCTGTGTGTGTGTGTGTGTGTGTGTCTCTCTCTCTCTCTCTCTCTCTGTGTGTGTGTGTGTGTCTCTCTCTCTCTCTCTCTGTGTGTGTGTGTGTGTGTGTGTGTGTCTCTCTCTCTCTCTCTCTCTGTGTGTGTGTCTCTCTCTCTCTCTCTCTGTGTGTGTGTGTGTGTCTCTCTCTCTCTCTCTGTGTGTGTGTGTGTGTGTGTCTCTCTCTCTCTCTCTGTGTGTGTGGTGTGTGTGTGTGTGTGTGTGTGTGTGTGTGTCTCTCTCTCTCTCTCTCTGTGTGTGTGTGTGTGTGTGTGTGTGTGTCTCTCTCTCTCTCTCTGTGTGTGTGTGTGTGTGTGTGTGTGTGTGTGTGTGTGTGTGTGTGCGCGCATCCATCTGAACTAGAAACCCCCTCAGGGCCCTCCGATCTGAGCCCACAGGCGCTGTTCTGACACATGGCGCTGTTTGTCAGAAAGACAAGATTTCGGCAAACCCTCGAGCCACAGCTGACCTGAGCGCCGGAGCCACGCAGAGAAGGAGCCGACCGATTACTGATAACTCAGAGCCGATAGTTATCAATACTCTGATAATCAGACTCAGCGTTTAAACGTGCAGATGAAGATGAAAGATCACGCAACAAACACGCATCTCTAACGGGACCCTACTGGCCCTAAAGAACAGGTAACGGTCAAACCCTAGATTTGTAAAAGAAACCTGGCTGATATTAAGTGGTTTACTCTGACCTGATGAATGTGCATCTCTAGGAAGATCAGCACAGCTCAGTCAGCACTGATGCAGCAAAAACCAGAGTAAAACTAACAGCCTGCCTGATTCTGTCTTAACGGCATAATTAAAATAATTAATTTACTGGATTTATTTGTCAGTTTTGGCATCAAAATTATAACAAAATATGAGCAGAATATTTTCCGACAGAGACTAAAGTTACACTAAAGTTTTTTAAGTAGCAGAATGAGGCGTGGAGAACACTGTTCCCCCTTTAGAACCATGTTTTTTAAGCGTGTACTGCAAAGTGTTCAACGCTGTCTAATCAGATTGGAAACATTCTTTTAAGTTCTGTAAAGCTCTGCCTACCCAACATCACGGAGGAGGTCAGGACTAACGGCTGTACTGAAACTGCTAAACTCTTATAAATAGATTAACGACTAATAGAAACACTCGTTAGCTGCAGCCTGACCACCCCCCCCTCTACCTCTGACACGCCCCAGCTGAGCACAGGTGGGCTTCCTGAGCCGAGAGACCGGCCCGCGAGTCCCTGTGCGGCGCCAGAGCAGACGGACCGATTTTCACCTTGTAGGGCTCCCCGAAGAGTGGTGTGCTCTCCTGGTAGAGCTCCCGGTCCTGCTGGGCCTCCTGGTTCCTCCTCTCCCACTCCCTCCTCCGCAGGACGTTCAGCTCTTCACGCAAGCTGGACAAAGAAACAAGGAAAACAAACAGGTTTAAGGGGGCAGATCAATACGACTACAGGTTATCAAATCAATCAATCAACCTTTACGTTCACTCAAGACACACACTGAGGGTGACCCTTGTTTTCAGTGCAGCCGAGCATTCACAGCATTAAAGGGACTGAAAAGAAATTAAAATGGAATTTAATCAGGATAAACTAAAATGAACAGAACTGAACAAACTAATTAACAGACAAGATAAATGACAAAAGAGAACAATTAAGATTTAATTAAAAAAATAAAATAACATAAAATCAAGATAAGGTTCATAAAAAGTGTATATATATATATATATATATATATATATATATATATATATATATATATATATATATACACACACACACACACACACACTTATATTACACACACGTTATATATATGTATATTTTTACACACACAGTAAAAACATGGAGATAAAGTAGAATAACATGAAATGGGATTATTGGGAAAAGTACATGAAAACCAATAATAAAATAATAAATTACATTAAAAAAAATAGAGAAAGAAAAAAAGTAAATCTAAAAAAGCTAAATTAAAACGGCTCCAGTCTGTCTGAAGGTGGACAGAGAGTAAAAGGCTAAATGAGTTTTGGAGACTCCAGCTCACTGTGGATAAACGCAGACTCTCCCAGTTCAGTAAAAACTCCACAGCTGATCCGTCACTGAGCAGCTCTGATCATTACTGTTATTTATAGATGAGATCACGGATGAGAAGTAAGCTGCCGAACAGCTGAGAGTGATTTATAAATATAAAATGGGACGCTATGCAAAATGTAAATAAAAACAAAAAGCAATGATGTGCAAATCATTTAAACCCTATATTTAATTGAAAATACTACAAAGACAACAAATCAAATGTTGAAACATATTTGCCCATTTTGAATTTGATGCCAAAAACATGTTCCAAAAAAGTTGGGACGGGGGAACAAAAGGCTGGTAAAGTTGTATAATGCTAAAAAAACACCTGGTGGTTGATTGGCAGCAGGTCAGTAACATGATTGGGTATAAAGGAGCATCTCAGAGAGGCGGAGTCTTTCAGAAGTAAAGGTGAGGAGGGGGTCACCACTCTGTGAAAGACTGCACCATCAAATAGAGCAACAATTCAAGAATAACGTTTAATGTTTCTCGCAACATAAAACAGCAAAGAACTTCTGTTTTTCATCAACTACAGAACAAAATATCATTAAAAGATTCAGAGAATCTGGAGAAATCTCTGTATGTAAGGGACAAGGCCAAAAACCACTACTGGCTGGCTGTGATCTTTGGGCCCTCAGGCAGCACTGCTGTATAATCTCAGTATAAATCACCAAAATTATTACTATCATTATATATAATAATAAACAACATATACATCATTTTACACAATTATGTTAGCTATAATATTTATTTATAAACTTATCTTCATCGTGCTAAATCTTCCCAGTACAACACTGAATAAAATTCATTGTAATTTTATTATTATTATTAGCAGTAGCAGCAGTTGTACTAGTATTATTATTATTATTATTACTATTATTATTATTATTAGCAGTAGTAGCAGTTGTACTAGTATTATTATTATTATTATTATTATTATTATTATTATTACAGTATTTTTAAATAAGGCACTACAAGTTCTATTTGGTCTGTTCCCGCTTATAAAAATCTCAGAAAAAGGAAATATTGTGATGCATATCATGTATCATAAAAATATCTTGAAGTATCGTGATATATTATTTTTATCATATCGTTCACCAACACAGTCATGTAGAGCAGATGGAGCAGTTTGTAACTCACAGCCCAGCAGATCGAATGTGGTTTGGAAATGTTAATCAGATTAAAGTAGTTTAATGCTGTAGCTTATAAACAGCTCAGTCTGGCGTTATTTTGGGGGTTGAAAAGGGAAATGCGTCAACTCGCAATGATTTCTGGGTAATTTCGACACTGGTGTTTGCTCCATCGCTCGCCCTTCCCACTTCAGCTAATACAGTATCGTAACAGCCCTTAAGGCGGCGTTGGAGAGTCCCCATGGACCATGACCAGGCTGAGTGGACGAGGGCTTTTAAAGCAGGTACTGAACGATACTGAGGGTTTGAATATGTTTCTTAAACAGCACAAAACATTTAATACAGCAGCACTCTCTCGCTCTCTCTCTGTCTGTGTCTCTCTCTACCCCTCTCTCTGTGTCTTTCTCTCTCTCTTTCTGTCTTTCTCTCTCTGTGTCTGTCTCTGTGTCTGTCTCTGTGTCTGTCTCTGTGTCTGTCTCTGTCTACTCAGCAGGATGAAGGCGCTCATTTGGTGGTTTGGTGCTGTTAAACGGAAGCGGCTGATTTAACTGTGTGACCTTTCAGTGAGTCACTGTGAGCGACTATCAGGAGATCTTTCCACAGAGAACTCAGAGAACGACGTCACTACAGCTCCGTCTCTACAGACGACACGGGACCGTAATCACTGCAGCAGCTCTGAACACGGCTGTGAGTCTACAGAGAGAAAAACACACAAACGGAGCAGATTAAACTGCAGGAACGTGACTGAAGAACATCACAGACTCAGAGCGTAAACAGAGCTCTGTCTCAGGGCGCCGGTCACTGGGTCAAAACAGCACGTTTAGGAGTTCAGCACGTTTCGGAGTTCAGCACGTTTCGGAGTTCAGCACGTTTCGTCTCTGCTGTGAAGGACGAACAGCTCAGCCTCTCCAGAGTAATGAACTGTACTGTTCACTGTACCGAGTATCCAAAAGTATCCAGACGGCCCTTTGAGTGAACTTTGCTACTGAGGTCACGGATACAAATTGAGTAACAGAACAGAAACACAGTGACTTTCATTCAGAGTCAGTACACTAATCTGAACGTGTCTGTTAGTGACAGTATCTTCCACACCAAACACGCTTTTTCAGAGGGTGAAGACGACACCGTTTTATCCGCCCTCCGTTTTAGTTTTAGTGAACCTTCACAGGAGTGCTGGACTGAGCGGCTCCAGGTTTGTGTTTATACTGAAGTCTGTGTGTAAAGTCTTTACTGAGTCCTCAGTTACACTCCTCAGTTCAAACTGCCCTTTTACTAAATTTAGTTGCACCACAAACCCGCAAGTCGTGTCTTAACTAGTAACAACTAACTGATGCGCAAGTCACTTTAATCAGAACCGATCAGTAAACCTGCTGCCATGGAAACGCGACGCCAGCTGCTCTGACAGAATATCCAGTCTAGAAGAGAACGATGTGAACGAGTTAAACTGAATAAACTGATGATCTGCAGCCGCCGTCTGTTTATTCTTTAGTATTTCACTGAGAAACCAAATACGCCGGTTTCTGACTGACCGACACAACCGTTTAGCCGTTAGGGCTGCTGAGTCTCTGAGCTGGAGCTGTGGGTGTTTAGCTTCATGATCAGAGTTTAAACCAGGGCGACGATCAGAGCTGAGAGGAAAATCACAGCTACAGAGTTTAGAGTTTTTAGGTTAGTAACCAAAATAAGGCATGTTTTGGTCTGTTTGTGTTTCTGTGTGTTTCTGATGGTCCGCAAAACTCAGACCTGCTGAGGGGGGGGTGAATATTTAGTAGCTACTAAACTCAGCTTTAAACTAGTTTGTGTGCAGCTTGTTCTGATTTAGTGATGATAAACCTGAACTTAGTAAACATTTATGCTACAACTAACCTTGAACTACAGCCGGTCACTGACTTAGTGTTCGGTATTTTGGTTCATCTGGTTTAAACTTTTTAACTAAGTTTTGTCTCAACCGTTAAACCGGTTCACCACAAACAGGCGCGGATAAACTGACGTACAGACAGCTTAAGGCTAAACTCAACAGAAGCAACATGACGTCTAACAGAGTTGGCTGAGGCCCCGCTGAGCACTGTGGGCTGATATTCTAGCTGTGACTCCACTGTAGCTCTTTATTAACGGCTCTGACTAAAATCAGTGGAGTCCAGGAGTCGAATCCAGAATCTCGGAGCTCTGCTGCGTTTATTTTTGACTACAGTGTCCAAACAGGTGACGCACAACTCTGAGGTTAGATATTTTAGTGTAACTCCAGACTCTGATTTAACCTTTAAACCACACATTAATAATATCACCAAAACTGCTTTATTTAAGAAATACAGCACAAGTTCAGCCTCATCTCCGTCTGCAAGATGCTCAGAAACAGATCCAGGCTTTTGTGTTTTCTCGACTCGACTGCTCTAACACTGTTTACAGGACTCACTACAAGAACAACAAACCACAACTTGTGCAAAATGCGGCAGAGAATATTAACAGAGACTCGAAAACAGGATCATATTAGAGCAGTTTTAGCATGACTGGTTTCCTGTTTCCTTTAGAAGCCACTATTATAACAGTTAAAACGTTTTTACTTTACTTTCACTTTCTTGTTAATTGTGTTTTTTATATTTTTATCTTGTGCAATTTGATTTTTATTATGAACATATATCAATCTCATTTTCTGCTATAGCTCTGATTTGTTACATTTTTATTATTTATTTTATTGTGATCATCTTTTTTCTCTGTTGTTTTACTTTGTATTCTGAAGCTCTGAGCTGCATTTTTAATGTATGAAAGGTGCTATATAAATGAAGACTATCATTATTATTATTATTGTTGTTGTAAGTTTTATAGTTTTTTATTATTATTATAGATTGTGCAACTGAAAACAGGTCCTCAAGCTGAATGAAAAACCAGTTAAAAAATCAGTTGATTATTGGAAAATAACTTTTGAACTAAAAGCTCTAGACAAACATTTATATATCAGTATAAATCATTATCATCCCTGATTTGGCCGTAAGGTCACCATGTCCAATGCTAAGCGTGGGCTAGAGGGGTATAAAGCCCCCCAGCATTGGGCTGTGAAGCAGTGGAACTGTGTTCTCTGGAGTGATGGAGCTCCATCCAGTACCTTTGGGATGAGTTAGTGATCCAGAACTGACCATCCAACATCAGTACCTGACCTCACTAATGCTCAATCAGATCCTCACAGCAATGTTCAACATC